TTCACTGAAATTTTCACTGAAAGTGCAAAATTCGAAATTTTTGAAAAAGTATCAGGGGAACATGAACGTCGAGGAGGTATTCACTGAAATTGAAAAATTCGTAATTTTTGAAAAAGTATCAGGGTAACATGACCATCGAGAAGGTATTCACTGAAATTTGAAAATTCGAAATTTTTGAAAAAGTACCAGGGGAACATGAAAATCGAAGAGCTATTCAGTTTTTAAACAATATTTCGATTGATTAGCCATTTACAATAGAAAAAATAGGGATTATTTTGAAAAAAAAAGAATGACGGCGGGATCGAACCCTAACCATTCGTGTGTCAGTCAAGCACGTTGCCAATTTGACAACGCGCTCATTATTAAAATTTTCTTTGATTAGATGTATATCTTCAATATATCGAATAATTGTTTTCATTTGAAATTCCACAAGAGTGGCTTCCCCCTTTCGCTCGTTCCACAGTCGACTAAATTTCAGTTAAACAAATAAAAAACAAAAAGCATTCATACCGCAGAAAATAAAATTCACCCCGGGTGCCCTCCCTCTCTTGGGGTGCAGTACTACGAGGCCTCTACTTTAGTCAATCCTCTTTGGAAGCAAGACTCTTTGAATTTACATGGTTTTATTTTATTGAAAAATGGCGCTGGCGGCGAATTCCGCCGAGAGGAAACTCTCCCACTCCCTCGCCTTCTCTTTATAATTTTGTCATAATAAAACAATTATCAAACCACTCAACAATTTTTCATCCACTTTTCAATTGCCAATAGATGGATTTTCTTTTAAACCATTTTATTCTGGAAATTATTACATCTTTTTTAAACCTCAGTCGATTTTCTTCATTCACTTTTTTGAATTTTCGTTGGACGAAAAAAAATCACTTGAAAAAAAAACCTATATCGTCTGTAGTGCCCCCTAGATCATTTTCCACTGGCAGTTGATTATTTTCAAATTCTCAAGATGTCATCGATGTTAACGTACACTTCGTTATCGTTTTAACGTATTTTTACTGTGGTTTTTCAATTAGATTTGTCGTTTATTTATGTGAATAGTGAGCAACAATGACAGGTGTTGGGGCAGAGTCAATAATTCCCAAAAATGGTGAGTAGATTCAATAGATTCATCGACAATTTGGGGTTTGTCTGTTGGAAGTCATTGGAATACCGGTCATCACCACCTGTTATCAAAACACAATGGATAATCTCTATTCAGTTCCTTTTATTCCATTACTTAAATTCCATACATTACATTCTTATTTCTGAATTGTTGAGAAATATCTGATTTAGATGATTTTTATCAATTTACCTCGATGTAATTCCATATTTAGAAAAATTTCTAAAATTACAGATTATAAAATTTTTGTTAAAACTTTTTTATTAATATGATTAAAAACTAAAAAGATTCGAGAAGATTCGAAAATAAAATTATTGACAATGTCGGGGACACTACAGAATTATTTAATGCAGAATGTATTAATGCTTTGGGGGTTTATTTAAAACCATTCTATTTGTTTGTCATTTTGACTTTGTCGTGTTCCAGATGCTGATGTTCGTAAATCAGCTGAGGAGATGGACGAGCAGAGGCAAAAAACAATGGCTTATGAATATTTGTGTCACCTTGAAGAAGCTAAAAAGTGGATGGAAGCATGTTTGAGAGAGGAATTACCCCCGACAACTGAACTCGAAGAGAACCTGAGGAATGGAGTTTACTTGGCCAAACTTGCGCACTTCATGGACCCAAAGAAACTGCCACGCAGTAAAATCTACGACATTGAGCAGAAGAGATATGCAATTGCAGGATTGCAATTCAGGCATACTGACAATATTAATCACTTCTTGATGTGCTTGAAGTCGATGCAGTTGCCTCTGACATTCCAGCCGGAAACAACGGACATCTACGACAAGAAGAACATGCCTCGAGTAATTTACTGCATTCACGCCCTGAGTACTCATCTCTTCAAGTTGGGCAGAGCCCCCCAGATCCAAGACCTTTACGGGAAAATAAATTTCACCGACGCCGAGATCGACGCAGTGAGTGCAGAACTGAAGAAATATGGTATCCAAATGCCAGCATTCCAAAAAATCGGTGGTCTCCTCACCAATAGCATGGCAGGAGACACTGCAGCTCTGCACGCTGCAGTAATAGCCATAAACCAGGCCCTGACATCTTCCAACAAAACTGCAATGCTCAACGGTCTCCAGAATGCCTCAGCTCGACTGCGAAACGTCAATCCATGCCACGTGAACGACTACTACGAGACCCTGCTAAACGCTAAAGATATAAAAACCCAAGCAGCCCTCAACAGATCTCTAAACGACAGTTACATCCCAGATGCTTACGACGAACTGTTGACACCAGCAGAAATTCAGGGCCACCTCAACAACGTCAATGCTCGTCTCGCTTTCCAATCTGTCATGAACTCCCTGGATTCCCCTGTTGGAATTTTAATCAACAACTTAAAAAATCCAGCCCTCCAACTTCAGAATGTTCTCCCCGAGAATGTTAATCGCTATCGCGAGGCCCTCTTCCCTCTGATCAATCGGATTGACCTCAATGAAGACTTTGAAGAGACCAGCAGGTATTGGCAGGAGCTTCTCCAATCGAGAGTAACTCAAGCAAACGAGGTAGAACACAAAACAGCAAAACGACAAAATGCTGTTCTAGCTCTGAACTCAGCCCTCGACAGAGACAATCCAAAGGACTTTTACAAGGCCCTCACAGATCCAGATCTAGGCCTCCACAATCACATCGACAGCTTCGCCATTCCTTTGTACTTCGAGGAAATGAAGATCGATCATCTGGAGTCTCGAGCCAATATATCCTATGATGACATACTGAATAGTCTGAGAGTACTGACAGCTGTGGCAGCTGTTACCAAAGCTGTCGACACAGGTAATCCTGATCTTGTTTATCAGGCCCTAGCAGATCCTGGAGCCCTTGTCAACCATTTAGACGAATCCAATAAGGTGAAATACTATCGCGCATTAGCAAGTGTTAGAGCTGAACATCAGAAAGATCAACGGGACTGCCCCATCCTGGCTTACATCGACATTCAGGACTGCATAGACCTCGTTAATCTTCGATGCAGGAATGACGACGAAGCTATCAATATCCTGGAAGATTTGAATCGGGCTGTGAAGAGTAATAATCGAAATGGAGTGATGGAGGCTCTAACGAATCCTTCGCTCAAGCTGAAGAGTCAAATCTCTCCAGCAGATGCATCTCTATATCTTGCACTATTTAAACGGTGTCTCGAGGAGGATCACGAAGATGGTTCTGAATTGTGGCTCGAAGATATTGAAAACGTGGCACAGATGGTAATGGCTGAGGCTGAACAGGTGCAACACGCCTGTTACGTTCTCTCTGAAATCAACAAGAAACTAAAACTCAACGATTTCCATGGGACAATAGCTAGTTTAGAAGATACTGGTCTCAAGATCTCTAATAAACACAAGCACAAGTACTTCCAGGCATTGACAGCCCTCAGAGAGTACAAAGAATGTCATTACAAATGTTTTTTCGTTCGATACGTGAGTCCCACAAACGTGGAATCATTTTTGGACCTGGAGAGATTTAATTACACGTGGGACAAACCCAAGAATATCTCCGAGAGTCACTTCGTGACTAAAGAGGACATTGAAGAAATAATTAATAAAATAACAGCGGAAGAGTACAATATTCCGTCAGAGAGTTTCAACGAGAAATTGATAATTCGTCTTCAGGCGTTGATTCGAGGATATTTGACTCGCAAGAAGATTGCAGATCGTTTCGACTACTTTCACGATAATGTCGATAAAATCATGAAGATTCAGGCTTGGTGGAGAGGTGTGATGCATCGTCGATTGTACAGAATGAAGCTCGTTGAAAGGATTAGAGAAGCCAAGGGAAAGTTGAGGAAGCAGCGAAATCATTACGATTACTATCGCCAGCACGAGGACAAGATTATCAAGATCCAGGCGTTCTGGAGGGGCAGGTCAGCTCGAAGAGCATTTCTCTCACTCCTCAGGATGGAAAAACCACCATTTCCTGTAGTCAGGCACTTCTCAGCTATTCTCAACTTCAATGCTGAGGATTATGATAAAGATCTCCAGCTGCAACAGCTGAAGAACGACGTCGTCCAGACGATCAGGTACAACCAGAATTTGTCACAGCAGCTAGACAACATGGACATCAAGATTGGTCTTCTGATTCAGAACAGGATTACTCTGCAGGATGTGATTGCCCATGGGAAGAGTCTGGAGACTCTTGCTAAAGAGAAACATCATCACCGATCACGAAAGAATTCAATGTCTGAGAATTTAAGCAGTTACAAGGGTCTTAAATCATTGACGAAAGAAGGGAGAAAGATGCTGGAGGGATATCAGCACTTGTTCTATGCGCTGCAAACAAATCCTGAATATTTATCGAAATTATTGTTCTTAATACCTCAGAGCAAGACGAATAAATTTCTTCAGAACGTCATTCTCACACTTTATAACTTCGGTTCAAACATCAGGGAGGAGTATCTTCTTCTTAAACTTTTTGGAAGAGCACTGCAGGAAGAGATCAGATCAAAATTTCAGAAACCCTCGGAGGTGGTGACCGGCAATCCTTTAGTCTTAAAAATGGTTGTCAATTATGCTAGACAGTTGAATGGTCGAGCACTTCGTCAAATACTGGGTCCAGTCATTGAGAAAGTCTTATCAGACAGATCGATAAGCATCGAGACGAATCCAGTGGACATCTACAAAAGCTGGAGGAATCAATTGGAGATGGAGAAAGGAGAGGTTTTAGATCTTCCTTATTCTGTAAATCAACAACAAGCCCTGAATTACGAGCAAGTGCGACAGAGACTCGCTCGAGGTATTCAAACCCTCAAAGACATGGTCTTGGATTTTCTGAAACGAATCACCGAATCGAGAGATATAATTCCTTATGGAATGCTGTACATGTCGAAGGTGCTCCATGACACTCTAGCTGAAAAATTTCCTCACGCTCCAGAGAAAGATATCCTCAAGGTCGTGGGGAATTTAATTTATTATCACTTCATAAATGCAGCAATTGTTGCACCTGATGCCTTTGATATTGTCACTCTACCAGTGGATCGTTCATTATCCAATGACCAAAGGAGGAATTTAGCTAGCATCGCCAAAATCTTACAGTTTGCAGCCTCGAAGAAGGGATTTGGGGACGAGGCGACACATTTGATGTGTCTCAATCCCTTTATCATCGACTGCCACGAGAAATTCAAGAAATTCTTCAGATCCTGCTGTCAGATCTCAGCGTTGGATGATCACTTCAGTTTTCACGAGTACACAGAGGCTACGTTGATTCACAGACCAGAGATTTATATTTCTCTCCAAGAAATTTGTGACACACACACTCTTGTGCTTGAATATCAGTACGAAATAGCTCCAAATCCAATTGATCCTATTCACGAGCTGCTGGATGATCTCGAATCAGCACCAACTGTTGCTTCATTGATGGGAATCACTAAACCAGTTTGTGAGGCTACACTGACGCGAATGGGACAGGCAGAGGTGTGTCTCGTCCTCACGAATAAATTCGAAGTTCCCGATACTGATGACCAAAGTCTCCAGAAGTTGTTCATAAAGACGAAGGAGTTGCTGGTGTCAGTCCTGCAATTTCTCAAAGGAGAGACACTTGTGAGTGCTCTTGAGACGTCATGTTCGTCCCCAGTGCAGGAGAAATTGTACGACGCCAAGTACTCATCGATTTCACCAACGATGAAACTCAATATGTATAGAGGCAGCTCTTCCTTGAATGACTGCAGACTACAATTGAGAGCTTATCTTCACAAGCTTGAGCAAGGTGGCTGGGTCTCCAGAGCTGATGGCTATCAAAGTATTGTAACAGCTGTTGCCAAAGATCTTTGTAATAAGGGGCGATACCGATCAATGAGGAACAAAGAATTGCAGACGTTGAGATTAACCAGGCAACGGCTCCAGGAGAAGACGAAATATTATGCTGAGCAAGTGGAGTATTATAATGAGTATACGCAGCGATGTTTGGAGAATCTTCACACGGGGAGAGGCTCTATGAGAGCAGTCAAGGTCACTCAGAAGAATAATCATGGAAAATTGAAGTCTAAAGCTACTTTGAAATATTCAGCAGCTAAACTCGCTGAGAAGGGAGTTCTCTTGGAGATCGATGGACTCTCACAGTCGCAGTTTAAAAATGTCATTTTTGAAATCACTCCGACTGAACAGAGTGGAATTTTCACGATTAAGGGGAAGTTTATGGGAGTGGAGATGGAGAAAATTGAAATTGATATTCAAAAGCTGCTGGAGTTGCAGTTCGAGGGAGCCCCCATTATGGACATGTTTGGAAAAGCGAAGATCAATGTCAATTTGCTGCTGTACTTACTCAACAGAAAATTCTATGGAAAAACTTAGAGGCCAGTGAGTTTATACCGTTTTAAACAGTGTGTAGATGCAGCCAGACAATACAGATCAGTCTGATAAGTCCAGGGTCTTCCTGTCTGCACCTTAATGCACATGGAATCCTCTGTCTAGATGATCTGCATGCATTTAGTTCCCTCGGGGAATAAACCCATATTAATGCTGCATCCAAAGTCAAGGAATTGTATCGTTGGCTTAACATCCTCAGTCGTAAATAATTTGGTATTTGTGTACGTACTCGACAAACTTAGGGGCCAGTGATTTTATACCGTTTCATGATTTTTATCATTTTTCAAAAAATATCATGCGAAAATTCAATGAATTTGTAATTGTGAATTATTGTAAATATCTATATTTATAAGATTTTCATATTTTTAATAATACAATGTCTCTTAATAACTATTATAACATGAGAAGTCAGTATACTCACTTTTGTGACAGTGCAACGCAGATAATATCAGGATTTTTTCTAATTCATTGAATGCCACTTGGCGATGCCCAAGTCTGGACGAATAAGGAACATAAAATGAGGAGAATAAAAATGTTAAAAGTAAAGAAGAATAATCTAAAAGTTTCACCTTGACTTTTTTTCGTATTCAACAGGTAAAGCCCGCTTTTTCCCCTTAATTAAAAGCGACGTGAGTAATTGATTAATTAGAAAATATTCATCTTCGTTGCACTATCAAAGTAAGATAAGGCATATTCCCAACTAATATTTCATATTTTTTCTTGTCACTCATTGTATTAATCCAATTATTTAATCTTTCAGCATGTAAATTTATTTTTCCTTATAAAATCCAACGATGGATCATGAAAAAAGAAACACTCCTTTCGTCTATTCACTTTTCTTGAATTTACCATTGATATAGTACTATTGCATAACACGAGATAAAATTGGTTCTGTGGTTGTCGAAAAAAAAAAAAAATTACATTAAGATGTCCTCCATCGTATTTACTCATTTCAAAAGCAAAAAAAGATTATTGAACTCGCAAAAGTCCATCGAAATTTATTGATGAGTTTAGTTCAAAATCTCATGATATATATATTTTTTTTTCATTAAAAAATCTAAATATATCAGAGTATGCACAAATCTGCTGAATGATGATCTTCATTTGAAAATAATTAAACCGTATATATCATCGTAATCGATGTTTCATTGATAATAAATAGCACGATAATCATAGTAATCATAACTTCCCATTGTACATGAAATATTCCAGCGTCACAAAGTACGTGCACAGTCGATTTAATTCACATTCCCTCAATTTACCGCCTCTTTCGTTTAACTTTGCTTTTACATTTGGCTGAAAAAATATGTAAGCGTTATCGTTTATTCAATACATTAGCAAAGTACCGGACATTCTGATCGTAATTCGTAGTATTAGCTAATGCCTCCTCCATTGTACTGCGTAAAGCGCTCAAATCTGGCATTTTTTCACAGGATTCGATATTCAACAATTCAGTGAAAAATATTTCCCATGCTGCTCTCTTGACGTACCTAGGCATTTTAGCAGTTATAAACCACTTATCCCCAGTATGTGCCACCCGCATATAATTTCCAAAGAGCAAACAGTGTGCAGATGCAGCTAGACAATACAGATCAGTCTGATAAGTCCAGGGTCTTCCCGTCTGCATCTCAATGCATGTGAAATCCTCTGTCTTAATGATCTGCGTGAATTTAGTTCCCTCGGGGAATAAACTCATATCAATGCTGCATCCAAAGTCAATTAACTGTATCGTTGGTCTAACATCCTCAGTCGGCAGATGCATAAGAAGAAAATTATCTGGCTTAATATCACCGTGAATAATTTGGCATTTATGTAGGTACTCGACAATCTGTAGCATTTCCAACGTAAAAGTTATAGCTAATGCCTCATGCAGTGGTTTACCAGTAGCCACTTTCACCTGATTCGTCACACTCAGCAGTGTACCGTATTTCGAGTATTCCGATACTAAAACACTCGCATTATTAGTAACATAAGCCTTGGATATATCCATAAAACCCCTAAGCATGTGAGGATTTGTAATCCTCGCTTTAATCTCACGTGCAATGTAGTACTCCCATACCCAGGCTGGCCTCTGAGTCTTCAGAGCAACAGCTTGACCAGTTTGTCCACTCACTGCCTTCATGACAGTCCCATAAGTACCTTTTCCAAGTTTTCTCTCCATCTCATACGTGTCAGTTCCCAAAGTAACAACACTCGACGGCAGCATCTTATTCAGATTCATATTCATTCTGTGATATCCATCAGAATGATGAGCCCTTGGGAACTTAATCTTCCTCAACAGTCCTGAAATTAATCCCTTATCAAACGGATTGAAATCCCCAGTAGGCAGAACAAATTCCTCCTCCTCCACCTCCTCCATGGGTTCATTAAACGCACACTCCATTTTTCCCTCATTCTTCTTCTCA